ATCAACACTAACTTTGTAAAGTCCTTACTTATTTGTAAATTAATCTTTTGGATATGAAAGTTTTATAGAGATACAAAAGTGTAAATAACAAAGACTATAAATCTTGTGACCTTCATTTCTGCATCACCATTTACCTGCACTATTTCAGTAGATTTATATCACATACTTTTGGTGCCATTATTCCAACTCTTTTTTGGGTTCAGTTACTTAGATTTAGGGTGAGGATGCTAGACTAAGGTTTAGGTTATAAGGTTGAAGGTTAAACATTAGGGTTAATGGATGGGTTGAAGTTTAAAATCAGAGGTTAGGATTAGTGTTTTATTTGTATTTATTAATTCTTTTTTTTATTAAATATTTTTTTATTTTTTACTTTACTTTTATGTGCTTTGGGGAAATATTGGAGGTCTAAAGAGACCCCTTATATTTCCCTTTTAAAATAGAAAAAGAGATTGAGGACACAAAGTGTTCCTGTTCATTCATAACATGAGGACATGGTATGTTTACTATAACTACAACTATGAATGAACAGGAGGTGATGAATACTCCCATTCATTCATAATTGAGGACACAGTAAACATACCATGTCCTCAATTATCTACAAACACTCAGCGATCACTGAGTGTTTGTACCCGCTCTCCTTCCTGACAGCTGTCACAGGAGGCTGATCGAGCCATGTAGGGAGGAAAACTCAGCCTCCTGTGACAGCGAGGCCTGTTTCCATCCACACACCACTCTGCCGGACTGTGATAGGAGGCTGAGCTGTGTGGGAGGAGACGTCGGCCGCTTACAGCACTCTCCTCCCGCAGCACCTGGCCGGCTATCACAATTTCTCACCTCCCCGCTGGGACACAGAGCAGCGCCCAGCGGGGAGGAAAGAAAGCAGGGATGCGCCGATGTATCGACAGGAAAATGGCACTTTCAGCATTATGCCAAAAGTGCAATTTTCGGCCGATATATACCTTAAACACCAAAGTTATCATGCCACAAACAACTGCTGTTTAGAAGCCCCCCCAAAAAAATTATGCTATGTATATCTTGGACATTTGGAATTAGAAACATTGATGTTCAATATCCAAAGTACAACAACAGTCAAGAGTCATGTGTGTTAGTGTGTGTCTGCTCTGTTTAGTGATCAGCGAATGTCCCTGGGTTCAATTTGCAGACCGTTCATCCAACACTTAAAAAAAATCCACCAACCCCAAACATAGTGCCTAAAACCCATTGCAGTCTATGCAAGCCAAATACTGTAATTTTTGCTGATCTTTTTTAAGGCCACTTTGCAAGCAAGGACATGGGTAGCTGTACACTGCAATGGGGGACATGAATCAATGCAAAAAAAAATGTCAAACAATGTAACAGGGAGTGGCTATTTAAATCATGCTTAAAGGGCAACATTAAAAATACACAATTTATTTAAATTATATGCTTTGGGATGCATTAAATGTAGGGGTGCACCTGTAGAATATGCCCCAGAAAAAGTGATGTTTAAAAAAAAAAAAAAAAAAGCTATTGCTGCTGAATGACAGGTCTATTCCCTTCCGGCTTATGCTTGTACACAAAGCAGCCACAGGATACTTGGTGATGTCATTGGCTACATATTGTCATGGCCATAAGTTGCCAATGACATCAGTCAGCTCCCCAGCCAGCTTGCTTACATTCAGCTGCTGCCTGCAAAGCTGTCAGTTGCAGCAAGAGTCGGTCAGGAGAGGATTGTTGGTGGGGTCATCGGGTTGTCTGTGTGGTTATTCATAGTGGCTGATAATAGCTTTACAACTCTGGGTGGCAAAGTCGGCAATGGATTTACACTGTGGAACTTTATCACAGTGAGGGTGTATTTATTTTCATTTATCTTTTTTTAGTGAATGAGTAAAAAGAGCTAATATGTAACCCTTAGGGGTCTATTCACAAAGCTGCCGAAGGATCTGGCCGTAGCTTCGGCCGATCCTTCGGCTAGCTTCGGGCCCAGGACCCCTTCGGTTCAGGAGAACCGAGGGGGTGCTGTACGGGCTATTCACAATAGCCCGTACAGCTCCCGATCACGGTCGAGCGGCTCAGTCGAGCCGATCGCATATGCCTCGGCTCGGCTGAGCCGTGCTGAAAGCCGAAGCTGGCCGAGCGGCCGG